ATGGTACTTATCGAGTAGAGATACATTTTTCTTTTTGCAAATATGAAGCAAACAGATATTCTTACAATTTCATTTGGGAACATCCATTTGCTGAGATGTAAATTTTGAAAACCATTAATAAAGAAAATAATGAATTATGTATTTTATAGTAGTTGAACCCCATTGATTGCAGTTACAGCAATAACAATTCATTACATTTTATTATATATGATATGTAATTCCACAACTTTACTTATCTGATACAAGCCAAGCTCTCACATAATGAACAGGCTGTTGACTTAAGGCAGTGTTAATGGCACTTTGGATGAAAATTTGGTGGCATTTGACTGAACCTCGAGGCAAAACATGATTAATCTTTAGTTTTGAATAGGGGTACAGTCAGTTATACTACTAGCAGACAAAGTTCTGGTGCCATAAGAAAACGGATAATTTCAGATTGATAATAGTTGCCTCCTGGCGATGTGGCCATTGCACTTGCATGGGTATTCTGTCTCGCAGTCCCTGAACCACATTATTTGCCCTACAGCCTAGCCCTCCCTGCAATGTAGTCTGTCTCACAGTCCCTGAACCACATTATTTTCCACAGTCCCTGAACCACATTATTTTCCCTACTGCCTCACAGTCAGCCCACAATCCCTGAACCACATTATTTGCCCTACAGCCTAGCCCTCCCTGCAATGTAGTCTGTCTCACAGTCATGAACCACATTATTTTCCCTACTGCCCAGCCCTCCCTGCAATGTAGTCTGTCTCACAGTCATGAACCACATTATTTTCCCTACAGCCCACAGAACCATTATTTTCCCTCTAGCCCTCCCCTGCAATGTAGTCTGTCTCACAGTCATGAACCACTTCCAGCCTCCCCTGCAATGTATGTCACAGTCTGAACCACATTATTTTCCTCTCCACAGTCCCATGAACCACATTATTTTTCCCTTAGCCCTCCTGCAATGTAGTCTGTCTCACAGTCCTGAACCACATTATTTTCCCTACAGCCTAGCCCTCCCTGCAATGTAGTCTGTCTCACAGTCATGAACCACATTATTTTCCCTACAGCCCAGCCCTCCCTGCAATGTAGTCTGTCTCACAGTCATGAACCACATTATTTTCCCTACAGCCTAGCCCTACCTGCAATGTAGTCTGGCGGACCCTCTCACTCACAGTCATGAACCACATTATTTTCCCTACTGCCCTAGCCCTCCCTGCAATGTAGTCTGTCTCACAGTCATGAACCACATTATTTTCCCTACAGCCCAGCCCTCCCTGCAATGTAGTCTGTCTCACAGTCATGAACCACATTATTTTCCCTACAGCCCAGCCCTCCCTGCAATGTAGTCTGTCTCACAGCCCCTGAACCGAATTTTTTTCCCTACTGCCCAGCCCTTCCTGCAATGCTAAGCCCTAAATGAAGCAAGTCTCCATTTTCCCAGGTTCTGAATCTCCCATCTCACTGGGGCTCCTTTTCAATTTAAATGGGATTATTTGTTACTGTCAAAATTATATGTATTCAGAGACTACCATATGTAACCGCAGAGAAGCCGAATTTTGAAGACCAAAAAAAGCAGCCTGTAGAAGGGGTTGGCTTATCTACGGGAAACACTTTTGTCAAACCTTTTTGGATGACCAGTTAGAAAACGGCATTGTATCGTTTCTCATGAACGAACAAAAGAAAACAACTTTGGTAGTGAAGACATCAAATTTGCAATTAAACATCACTAGACAAGATTATTTACCTTTTCAGTTCTACATTGTTTTTGCTAGGCATTGTATTATATACAGGGGTTAAGATTACCATGTGTATTTGTCTCGTATATAGAGCCGGAAATAGCAGTCAGCTGTGGTAAGCGTTAGGCTATTGCATGGGCTGCTATGCGACACTGGGTGTTGCAGGAGGAAACTGAGCTGCGAAATTGCTGTGTTCCTAGTGTTTCTTGCAATGCTTCTTGGAATTAATGAATATAAATGTTTTTGTTTGTGCTCATCAGGGTTTGTGTAAAAGTGATTTTTCTCAAATTGATTGTTCGTGTAACCAGTTATCTGCATGGTTGAACCACACCTCATGGTGATTCCCAATGAGAACTGATCCCCATCAACTTATGATGCTAGTAAGAGACAAATATGTGAATCCGGTGGCCGTCACACAGAGCCATCTTGGGCGGTGGGGTAGCCTAGTGGTTAAAGCATTCGCCTGTCACCCCAAAGACATGGTTTTGATTCCACACATGGGTGCGTGTGAAGCACATTCCTGGTGTTCCCTGCCGTGATATTAATGGAATATTGCTAAAAGTGGCGTAAAACTGAACTCACTCACTCACAAAGAAATCTTCATACTATGACTGACATAAAGTCTATTTAAAGTATAGGAATTAGGATCACCTTGGTAATACGAAATCTTTGTGCACTGTGACGTCTGTGACATGAAACCATCTTGGCACCATGACTGTTGAAAGTCCATGCTAAAGTAAGAGAATTATGATCACCAACAGATTTGTGCAAAAGGGCCCTGGTGGGGCTTGACAATTCTTTTTGTTACCGGTATGTGTTATCTTGGACAGTGTTGATCAATGCTAACAATGCTAACCACGGAAGTCACTGATTGGTCACCATTAACAGTGGAATGATCCAAGAACCCAAGAAGTTACAAGATGCCAAACCCTTAGCTGTATAACATTGTCAGATTCCATAAAGTACAAAATCAAAAAGAATTTATGAAAGGACCCCAAAATGGGAAAGCATGTCCTGTGCAATCACTGCACTGCTACGCACACAATTTGCATATGTGAAATCTGCGTACTGTTTGTCAAATGTTATTAAAAAAATTAGTCAACATGATGTGTTGCTAATGTAATGTTTCCAAACTGTGACGTAAATTTGATACTCCATTTTGGTCAGACGTAGATACTCCATTTTGGTCCGATGTAGATACTCAATTTTGGTCCGATATGTAGATTATCCATTTTGATCAGACGTACATACTCCATTTTGGTCAGACGTAGATACTCCATTTTGGTCCGATATGTAGATTCTCCATTTTGGTCAGATGTAGATACTCCACTTTGTTTTCACTTTTCCCCTTCATGGTAACCTTAGTGTCAGTGACCTTGACCCCACTCTCCCCATCAGTAACCCAGCCCTTCTAGCTTCCACACCGTTTTCCTATACACTAGTGTCAGTGCCTGCATTCATCAAAGTCTTACACATTTTACAAATAAAGATCAAGATAGAGGAAATTACACAAGTAAATTGTTTGTTATAAAATCAACTCTTACATAGCTGCCATTTGTTCAAGTATATGATAGGTTTTTGTGAAGGTACACATCAAAGTCGCTATTTGTCAAATCCTTTCAGAACAGTAGGAAGGAAAATATCATAACTGTGTCATATATTCTTTCATCATACATCAAAGTCAAGTCATGCATGTATGTCTGGCTCAGCCCATTAGAAGTAGTTATCAGGATATCAGCTTCCACAGAAGATTGCACCTGAATGCTTATTATGTGAACTCCCTGATGACTGAATTGTTCCTGGAATGAATGCCCGGCCAAGATGTGGCAGACAATCTAAATATGTCATAACTGATTGATAACTCCCTTGATGCTCGAGATGTCACAGTGTCATCCATACGGCCTGAACGTGAAAATTCATTTCCTTGAACAAGAAATTGTTGACCTGACAGTAGCCTCAACTGTATTTTAACCACTATTTATTACCCTGCAGGTATTCGAGACGACATGCATCACATATTTGAATTAGAGATATCAAATTTTAGGGGGAGGGCTTTTCAAAGCACAAAAACAGTATTTTTTCTGATATATATACTGTTGAAAAATACTGACTAATATGTGTTAAATATTATGCATAAATGAGCAGGATTGAAACAGTTATCTATCTCTCACATTGTTATCTCCCCTTATCTGAAAAATTGATTGATAAAAGGCGTCCGAAGAACTTATTCAGATAAGAATCCTTCATTATTTTCGGAAGTGGTTGGAGTGTTTGTAAGCCCATCCTGATGATCTGCGGTATCTTCTTAATTCCATTATGACATAAGCGATGGCTATGTATTGGCCCCAAAATTTGAGTGAGTGAGTATGGTTTTACGCCGCTTTTAGCAATATTCCAGCAATATCACCGCGTGGGACACCAGAAATGGGCTTCACACATTGTGCCCATGTGGGGAATCGAACCCGGGTCTTCGGTGTGAAGACTAGGCTACCCCACCGCCCCCCAAAAGTTTGAAGATACAGTGATTGTGATATATGTTGTGTTGGGAGCTAAAGTGTTTGACAGTTAAAATGCATGCAGATCCTATTTAAGACCATCCATAATCCACATGGCTGTTGATCACTGGATTGTCTGGTCCAGACTTGATTATTTACAGACAAAACTGGAATATTGCTGGTATGGCATAATACTAAACTCAGTCACTCCTCTAATTCGGGACAGCCACCGGCCAAATATTTCTAAAGACCAAGCCATGCGAGACCTAATTGTAATTATTTAATCTGCATTAAATTGTTTTCACTCACTCACTCACAACATAATGTCTCAAATACAACAGGTAACACCTTGTGGTGGGGCAGCCTGGAGGTAAAAGTATTCACTTGTCATGCAAATTCAATTCCCCACACGGGTACAGTGCTTGAGCCGATTTCCAGTGTACCAATGCCATTATTTACTCACTGGTAGCATAAGGACTTTTTTCAAGAATCCTCAAGAAAACATCATTTTCATTCTAATTTGCAGTAAAATCCCTCATTTGAAATATTTTGGGAGATTGTGCCAAATTGAGTCTGTCAGTTTACATGTTGATCTTTGCTGAACTCTTGTTAAGAAGAATCCTTTGGATGGGTTGCTGAGATATAAATTTTCAATAACAGAAACCCTGTGTGAGGTTATTGATATGTGAGATGGAGATTGTGACGTCACTTCTGCAATTAAGCTCAAATGTCACATGAAGCCAGGGTGCACAAAACCAATGTTTTCTCACAGACTTGTTAGTAATGTTGTGTTTTCTTAAACAATAACCAGTCATTCAACAGCTATTACATGAACATGTGGAGACAGTCTGACCTTAAAGCAGCAATGAAAACAATTAACAAGCTAAACCAGTTCCTTTTCCACTTACAGGAAGGTAAACACTCCAACTGTAGTTCTGCAGCAAATGTCAACTATAGTTCTGCAGCAATGTCAAATGTCAGATGCTTGAAAATATCTGTGATGACATTCATCATAAGTTTTCATGTTAAGAAAAATTCAATATTGAAAAGCATGGTCAGTTTTAATTACTGGAAAGATATGGATAATAGAAAAGTTTAAAATCTTGCACAAAAAATCATCCAATCACAGCTGCCAGATATCTCAGTCTTCAGTGAAGGCCTCTATGGAAAATGCTGGTTTATTGGAAGAATCGGGTTTGGTGTCTTTAGGGTATGTAGGGGCGGTGGGGTAGCCTAGTGGTTAAAGCGTTTGCTCGCCACATTGAAGACCTGGTTTCGATCCCCACATGGGTGCAATGTGTGAAGCCCATTTCTGGTGTTCCCCCCGCTGTGATATTGCTGTAATATATACAAGTATATTGCTTAAAATGGCTTAAAACCTCACACACTCACTCCAGGGTATGTACATCTTAACATGAAACTTTAAGTTAGGTTATTGCGGAAGATCATGTAAAAACAATTAAATTAAACTTAAAACAAGCGTTTCTATTCAAGTACATTTGGAAACAAATACCACTATTAAATACTTGATTGCCTTGAGAGAGTAAATCTGACCAAATCTGAACCCACTAAATGTTTTTTTCTTGGCCTGATGCTACTACAGATCCAAGTCAAAAAGAAATCCAAATTTATTTATTCTGATATTAAGGTTACCCTTAACTTTGCATAGTGTTTGAATCAAAATATTCTTATTTAGACAATAGCTTTGTGGTATTTTTTGTTTCCACACAGCAAGACAGGATGCTTATATGTAATCATATTAAGAGCACCTATATTACATACCAGTTCTTATACACTGGGACATCAATAAACACAATACCGAATATGTCTTAATAGTCTTTGGAACTGCAGATTTCTTTTAAAATCAGGAACAAGATTCATTATGTATTTTGCTTTTTTTGTATTCATATTTCATTCCAGATGGACACATTTGAAAATAACAAATTGAACTTTTCTTGGTGTGTTTGTATGTAATATGACGTAGTCAGAGAAAGTGGTAGTTATCTTCCTCTGCATCAGCTTTAAGAATGTTGGGTATTTTTAGATCTGGGCCGGTAGGGTAGCCTAATTGTTGAAGTGTCCGCTCATCACGCTGAATACCCGGGTTTGATTCCCCACATGGGTACAATGTGTGAAGCCCATTTCTGGTGTCCCCTGCTGTGGTATTGCTGGAATATTGCTAATCCAATCCAGTGATCAACAGCATCAATCTACACAATTGGGATACGATGACATGTGTCAACCAAGTCATCAAGCCTGCCCACCCGATCCTGTTAGTCGCCTCTTACGAGAAGCATGGGATGCTGAATATTAATATATGATAATAATAATGACAATGATTAATTTATATAGCACCTAGTATCCATCTGACTAGTTGCTCACTGGATGCTGTAATCATAATCTGATTATTATTACCCCAGATGATCCAAGCTGCCTGTGAGGTGCTAGAAGGTTAATAGTCACATGACTTATCTGACCAGGTACCCATTTCCTGCTGGGTGAACAGAGACAAGTTTTGAACAAACTCACTTGCCTAAGGTGAGACCACATGTATCACATGTGCTTCATAGTGGGGGCAGGACTGAAGTCCTAGAAACTCTCAGGAGTCAAACTGCCAAATATGGTCACCCATCCAAGGACTCGCCGCGCTCGACGTTACTTAACTTCAACTGATTCGTGACCTGAGCTCTATGCACTGGACCACACACCACTACAAAGAAGACCAATTTTAACCCGGATCTTTATGTGTCGAATGGTAAAGAAATTGTGAAGACACAAGTATATAATTTCATGAAATTGAATATCTCCTCCTGTTTGTTTTAAACATTGAAATAAGGATCACATATTGATTTGTATGTGGAATAATTGTTAAGAATCTCAGTGCATGAAGACTTGCATTGAATATTTGCCCGGGTATGGTTAACACAAAATGTAGACACCTATGCATCTACTTGAATAAAGATGGTAATTTCTAAAATCTTTGAAAATTTGCTGGGTATGGTTAACACAAAAAATTTAGACACCTATGCATCTACTTGAATAAATATGGTAATTTCTAAAATCCTTGAATATTTGCCTGTATGGTTAACACAAAATTTAGACACCTATGCATCTACTTGAATAAAGATGGTAATTTCTGAAATCCTTGAATGTTTGCTGGGTATGGTTAACACAAAATTTAGACACCAATACATCTACTTGAATAAATGTGGTAATTTCTGACATGTTTTGAATATTTTGGATATTAACGGTGAATATTCTGGAGGTCCTAGTTTTTGCAGCCATTTTGTTCATATGGTTGCAACTTGTCATGTGTCTGCAACCGTTACACAATACAGTTACTAGTAAAAATACTGTAAAATTTCTTGAGCATAACCAGTCTTAGTTACCTGCTGAAACAGATTCCTTGGGTGTAGAAGGTAAACTACCTGTGAGCATCATGTGACTTACTACGCCCAGCACAGTATCAGTGTCTACACTTCTGGGCCCTCAAAACGTTCGTAGCCCTAAGAATTCTTAACTTTGATTGTAGCCAATGTGTTAAGAATGGGCTTAAGAAGTTTGTAGGGTATATGGCGGCGGTCCGAAAATAATCGAGTCTGGATCAGACAATCCAGTGATCAACAGCATTAGCATCGATCTACGCAATTGGGAACCGATGACATATGTCAACCAAGCCAGCGAGCCTGACCACCTGATCCCGTTAGTTGCCTCTTACGACAAGCATGGGTTACTGAAGATCAGTATTCTAACCCGGACCTTCACGGGTTCGTAGGGCTACGAACGTTTCGAGAATAGCTAGCCAGAACATCTTTTGGGGAATATTTTCGGGATCTTTTTCTACATTCTCTTGATATGCGTGACAATGTTTCTGAACCATGTCACGAATGCTTTCTATCTTACCAGCAAACATAGTCAAAACTGTTCATAGCTCAAGTCATAGATAATTCTTTGAGTGTGGTCTCAGCAATAAGCTCCTTTTAACGTATTCATAGTCATGTGGGGCCTATGCATAAATAAGAGTCATGTGACATTGGTCTTGTCAACTGAGGGTGTTGGTGACTTGTCTCTCCTTAATTCCCCCAACAACATGAACAATGTCACACAGTGACAACACAGAACTCGCTCTGGAAGCTCTACACAAGGCTTTCATCCCAGGAGGACATCAGTTCCTTTCACCCAGTTTTACTTACACCCCGTCCAAGTCTGCGAGTTCTGGGACCATGGTTTCCGCTCCCAGGAATTGGTCACAGAACTGATAAACTCATTGATGACAATTTTGGTCGTCATGTGCCTTTGGCACGAAAACTAATGCTTGAAAGAATCAGTAAGGTTGATTAGCGATAACCATTGGAAAGTGACAAAAGGTTTGACTGTCTAAACATTCTGTCCGTCATCGTCCAATAAGCAAACTGCTTCCTTTTAAAATGTGATGTGATGGAGTTCTGTTGCAACTTGTCTTGAATAAACCCCAGTCAGAACTCAGTTCTGGCTTTGTGGAAGGATCTAGTCATGAGAAATCCTGGGAAAAGTTTAAAAATGGGAAAAGTGCCTTTGAGCATGTAGGGCTAATGTTTTAGAGGCCATGAATATTTCTAATGTCACTTTCATGGTTTTAACTTTTTAAATCCAATCATCTATACTTTTTTTTGTTTTATTTGCGTTTTAACATTTTTATAAAGTGATTTATCCTTGTTGCCCCCCGAAAATTTGTATTAGTAGTTTGGCCACTAGCCTTTAAGCAGATTGAACAAGGAATTGGTGAAACAGGAAATTGAAATAATCTGAATGTGTAATATAAAAAATATGTTCCTTAAGCCATTTCAACCAGGGAGACAGGCCATTATCAGTGATTGATGGAATCTAATTCAAGGCCACAAATCTGTCAAAAAATACAATAAAATTGATGACCAGTTTTCAGGCTGATATGCATGAGCAACATCTGATTAAACTCTTTACTTGCCAAGTGACCGGTCAGTTGTTGATGCTTTTGCACATGACCATTAAGATCACTGTGGTCTTGGAGTGACCAGCATAAGCTGGTCAGTAACTAGTCCCACTACTAATACATCATTGGAATGGAGACACATACTACTTTCCAATAAACAACTCTGATTGGAGAAATAGGAAAATAGCATCAGCTTGAGGAGGAAGGTTTTCTGGGAATATTTAATGGAAGCATGTCCTTGGTGAGATGAATGACCTGACTGAACAATTTTGGTGGGATATTAACGGTAATTGTTTCCTGCTGGTCAAGCGTTCGAGGAAATACTTCAATTGCGTGAACGCTTAAGTTCTATGTCTGATGTTATGCACAGCATATTTAGACGTAAGGTGTGCATCTTTTTTCACGATTAGATTATTAATTATGGTCCATGTGCGTGCATGAAGTTTAGAGTTTCTTTAACTTTCCTTTTCTTTTGGTTTTCAGATTTATCAATCAATTATCATTTTTGTTTTTATGCTACAAAAGTATAGCAATGTAAAAAATATCAACATTGTCATTTTCAGGTGGGAGTTATTAATATGATTATACATTGTTTCTGAACTAACATGAAGCTGGCTTTGGTCTTCCAGAAACTAAACTGATAAATGTCAGGATAAAATGTTAGAAATGTTCTACCAGCAAGTGGTCCCCCCTCGTAAGAAACAGCGAAAAACGACAACAAAATAATGATCGTTTGTTAAAAAACCTTTTTATTCGGCTGTCCAAAGTTATGAGACATGAATTATGAGTTGGTCTGTTGATTTCATGTGACTGTGCAAAGTTTGATTTTGTTGTATTTGTTAGATGTTGTGTTAGTGAGCAATTCATCAGTCTAAAATGAAGTCAAATGGACTAGCGGTATATCCATTACCGTTATATGTTGGTGATTTATGTTTTAAAAATGTACCTTATGACTTTAGAATTTGAAATTTGGTTAGATACTTAGCCATTGTCGGGCATGGTGAGTGAGCTGTCTAAGGCGCGGCGCTAGTAAGCAAAAGGTGTCTGGATCGATCCCCACTTGTGACCGGGTGTAAAAACCTTGGAGCTAACATTACTTGCAGGCTCTTTCAGTGTTGTCACAACCCCTAGTGTGCAGTACACAACCCTGTGCACTTAAAAGAACCCACTAACCAACGATTGGTGACCAGATGGTGGACACACGAACACGTGCAGACACCTAGTTGTGGGTATAGTAACGTGCACTATCATTGGACAAAATACTGTGGTTATGTGTCCCAGTTCACCCAGCTGCAAATGGGTACCTTGGGAGGATGAGGCTGTGTGATACCTCGCTGCGCCTAACAGGCTGCATGAGTTGAATACTCCCCAGGGAGTTGAGTTGGTTAAAAGAATGCCAGAAAAAGATAAATCCGTTGATAAAGGGAACACTCAAGCGCCTTGAGCATGTACTAGTTACATGGATATGTGCACTATATAAATATCATATCATCATCATCATCATCATCATCATCATCATTGTGCAAGCATTATACAGAAAAGTTTTAGTTTGTTTGTTTGCTGTTTAAATACAGTACAATAAAATTGTACTGTCAATAAAACTCTTGTCTGTCTGTCAGTACTCAGCAATTTTCCAGCTGTATGAACTGGCCTGCAATTAATTGAGTCTGGACTTGACAATCAAGTGATTGACATCAGGAGCATCTATCTAAGTAATTGGGATACGATGACATGTGTCAACCAAGTCAGCAAGTCTGACCATCCATCATTAGTTGCCTCTTACGACAATCATGCACGGGTTGCTGAAGACAAATTCTTACCTGAATCTTCACGGGTCGCATCCAACCTTGATTTTCAAGTAGTTGTTCCCAAACAGTATCTGGGTCAACATGTTCATTGAAAGTAACAGATACCTATGCATCTAGTTGTTGTTGGTTTGGTGTTTAACACTGCTGTGAAGCTCATTTCTGGTGTCCCCCGCCGTGATGTTGCTGGAATATTGCTAAAAGCGGCATAAAACCAAACTCAGTCAGACAGTTTAACACTGCACTCGGCAATATTCTACCTATATAGTGGCAGTCTGTAAATAATCAATTCTGGTCCAGACAATCCAATGATCAACATCATGAACAATGCAACTGGGATACGATGACATGTCAACCAAGTCACCGAGCCTGACCACCCGATCCCGTTAGTCGCCTCTGATGACAAGCGTTGGTTGCTGAAGATCAATTCTTACCCAGATCTTCACGGGTCCTATGTAGCTGGTTGTGGGAATATGGTACGTGGAAGATAACCAACAGCCTCCATGTGCTCTCTCAAGTGGAGTTGATTCTTGTTGGTATTACTGCATGACACAACAATTATTATGCCATTTAGGCTCTTGGTAATCATCAGTTGTGTCTGAGAATGTTTGACTTAAATGACATATAATTAAGTGGTTAGTTTGATAATCACTGAACATTTGGAAAACACAATCAACTTCCGATCACTTGTGAAATGATGTTTGCAAATTGATTGAATTGGATTTGATTATCATTATAATTTGAAATAAACACATGTACAGAAATGGATTGTTTCATTATTATGCCATTAGTTAAAAAATGTAATTATTTTACCCCACCTTTAAGTTGTTTTAGCTCAACTGGCAGAAAGTCACGTGAGATGTTGTGGCGTCTGTCAATAGTGTTATTTTTTTCAAGCATCTCACAAACTACTAGTCTTCTGCAGCATCACTATTGCTGAATATTCCCATCGAAAATGCCTATAAAACATAATCACAGGCGTTGAATCAGATTCTAAACATGGCTTCCACGGTGGCCATTTGGAAATGTCGTTATGTAACCTGGTGCAGCAAATATGAAAATCTCGAAACGATCCTATCCCTGTCCTAACTTGAGCTACCGATCCTAGCTAGGATAGTGAGCTCTTCAGTAGGTGAGATAGAAAAACCTTCATTAAGTTGGAGATTCCCTGAATATTACCCATGATTCATTGCAAGAAACACACACACACACACACACACACACACACACACACACACACACACACACACACACACACACACACACACATATATATATAGACACCTACAATTTTGTATACAAGATAAATGGAATGACTAGAAATCAAAGTAAAAAGCTTGAAAGTGGTGAAATTCAGCTTTTCATGGACTTAGTAGATCTAGAAGAAAATGTCATAGGTGTAATTAAAATGTGTATCTTGTATCCAGAAAAATAGAGTGAACTCGTACTCAGATAGATATAAAATATTTAATGAGATTTTATAATGTCTATTTGTTCAAATTTATATATACTTCCAGAAAAAAAGTATTGTTATATGTTTTGAAATATATTTCACATTTTTAACATTTTATGATAGTTAATGAAGCTTGAAATTTATGTATTCAACAATGAGATAAAATTTTTACCTCTCAGTTTGAAAGTCTGGCAAAAAAAGCAAGAGGATATGTGCCAAAAATATGTTCATTTTATTTGTTTTTTTATAAGAATCATGACTTGAATTCCAATTACGCGTCATGTCACAGAGTGAAAATTCACCTAGGAAATAAACAGGAGTTACTTCCCTTATCAAGTTGGCCTGGACCTTGACATTTCTAGGCTATGTGACAGAATGAACTGATAAATTGATAACATTAACTCTTCTTACCTCATAAAAACATGTTCTGTTGTAAATTCAAATGTAATTTTATTTTGTTTGACAACGTTGAAATTGGTGAACAAACAAGTACCACACCATGTTAATTTCCTCTAAGATAGACTTAGGACAAGTGAGAACCTATCCTAGTATTTGTGTAAGGTTAGGATACCTTTCCAGAGATAGGACAACTATCCTAGACACAAGGATCAAATTTAGGATATCCTGGGGCTAGGATCCTTTCGAGAATAGGAGCCAGGTCAGTGACCCAGTGCTCAGTATCAACAGGATGAAGACTGACTGACTGACTGAGTTTGGTTTTACGCCGCTTTTAGCAATATTCCAGCAACATCACGGCGGGGGACACCAGAAATGGGCTTCACACATTGTGCCCATGTGGGGATTCGAACCCGGGTCTTCGGCGTGATGAGCCAACGCTTTAACCATTAGGCTACCCCACCGCCCCACAGGATGAAGATCAAACTTTAAGTTGGGTTATTGAGGATGATGCTTAGAAGATCATGTCAGAACAATTAATGAAAACTTAAAACACGCATTTCAATCTATTCAAGTTAATTTGGAAACAAATACCACTATTAAATACTTGATTCCCTTGAGAGAGTAAATGTAACCAAATCTTAACCTACTAAATCTTTTTTCCATTCCAGACAAGAGCTGAAGCACCGCTACAGCCTGGGAAGCCCAGAGCTCCAGCAGCAGGTTCAGAAGGAGGCAGAACGTCTGGCAGCCCAGCAGCAGCACGACCTGACCCATCAGAAACACAAGTAAGTCAATACATCATTCTTCCAAGATGGCTTCAAGTTGGTTTCTAATTCAGTTAAGTGTACTTCAACCTACACCTTTGAGAATAACAGAAATATTTATTCAGGAAACAGAGCAGTAACATAAGTAGGAAATGAATAAATGGGCAAATAAAGATAAGTGTTGCATTTTTCAATTTCATTTTTGATATGGCCTTCAACCCCACTTCATCTGTAAAGGGATACGTAATGAAATGCTTGATTTGTCTAAGTATTCCACAGAGAGAAACACCAGAAGACTGAATGTCTAGAGCAGGCTTGTAAATCCATACCATACGTTGTCATGTTACCTTCCAACTTCTAAATGCCCATCAAGATCTAGAGCCGGATTGCCGGACATTGATAAAAACCCAGGACATTGATAAAAACTCACGAATCAGCTAAAACAAGTTCATCTAAAGTGTTATGTCAAACTCTGTTTGTCATTTTCTTGAAATGTTATTGCAACCCACATATTTTTCTTGTTGAAATTATTATTAATGTTGATAAGTCAAGAAGGACAAGGTCAATATTTATGTTACAATCTATGAATTCTGTTTATTTTAAACATTGCTGTAGGTTGTCAGGTTCAAAAGGTTTACTTACCTGAAAGAACACTGTTTAAAAAATTGAGAATTAACAAACAAATAGTATATGGTGGCGTGAAAATTGAAGGAGAATGTGATTATATTTTACTTCAGTAACAAAGAAGAGTGAGTGAGTGAGTGAGGTTGTACACTGCTTTTTGCAATACTCCACCAATCCTATTAAGGGGGAGGGGGAAGGGGAACTCCATAGATAGGCTTTACCCATTGTAACCATATGGGAAATGGAACCCGGTTCTTTGACATAGTGAGCAAACACTTTACCCTCTAGGCTACTGCCAACCATATGGGGAATGGAACCCGGTTCTTAGACATTGTGAGCAAACACTTTACCCTCTAGGCTACTGCCAACCATATGGGGAATGGAACCCGGTTCTTAGACATTGTGAGCAAACACTTTACCCTCTAGGCTACTGCCAACCATATGGGGAATGGAACCCTGTTCTTAGACATTGTGAGCAAACACTTTCTTAGACATTGTGAGCAAACACTTTACCCTCTAGGCTACTGCCCAACCTAGACATTGTGAGCAAACACATTTTACTTTACCTTCTAGGCTATATGGGGAATGGAACCCGGTTCTTAGACATTGTGAGCAAACACTTTTACTACCTCTAGGCTACTGCAAACACTTTACCCCTCTAACTGCCAAACTATATGGGGAATGGAACCTAGTTCCAACCATATGGGGAATGGAACCCGGTTCTTAGACATTGTGAGCAAACACTTTACCCTCTAGGCTACTGTCAACCATATGGGGAATGGAACCCGGTTCTTAGACATTGTGAGCAAACACTTTACCCACTAGGCTACCGCACCACCCCAACAAAGAAGAGGGATTATGACAGCAATTACCAACACTTAACATTTATGTGTGCACACACAGAAGTATTCCACAAATCTTCCTAAACACCTGTGAACATCCGGGTTAGAATGGGTCTTCAGCAACCAATGCTTGTCGCAAGAGACAACTAATGGGATCGGGTGGTCAGGCTCGCTGACTTGGTTGACACAATCATGTCATCATGTCCCTATTGCGAAGATCAATGCTCATGCTGTTGATCACTGGAATGTCTGGTCCAGACTCAATTATTGACTGACTATTTTCTGAGACAGGTTGTGATCTGTGTACTTGGAGAAGGAGAGCTAAAAAGAAAAAAAGAAATTATGAGTCATAAAGAAATTATGCTTACATGACACTGCCTTGGGAAAACTCATGTAAAAATTCCTGTGTTACCAATACTTTCACATACAAAATACACAAATTCCTATGCTTATTTCGTACTATTAAGTTGGACACTCGTGCTCTTGCGATAATCTTTATTTATTTGTGTGAGGATATTTGCCCCTGGATCAGTGAAAGGAATTAAGAAAATATTGTGAAATATTATTCAACAAAAGCTGTGAGTCGTCATGACTATTGATATTCACCTTTGCCCAAGCTCACAGCTGCTGGAATCTCATTCTGTATTGAGCAAATGAACATTGCACTGAAGATTTCTTATCTGAAAGTACCTGAAACCATCTCATAAAGTTACAAAATGGACCTCAGCTGTCTGTTTCAAGTTTCAGAAAAATAATATAAAGAGAGATTTATCAATAATCCCAATGTACAGTGGTGTTGAGTTGACAGTTATTGTCTTGTTGAAAGGCCTTGGTGGATATTCACAGTTACTTGTATTACTTTTGTTGAATCATTGAAATCTCAGCTAGTTTTAAAATGTCATGATGACCTCTGGGGCATGGCTTGTTCAGCAATTTTGCAATTCACTGTGCAGAGTCACCTCCCTTTGTAATGCCAGGAACTGATGATGTTTGTCCCAATCCAGGTTCTCCTCAATAATATTTTGAGGTTGCCAACGCTGTGCCATCAGGTTTTACAAGAGGGGTAAACAACTGAGACCTGCATTGCTTTCCTCTGACATTTAACTGACATATTGAGATAAAACTCGAATATTGTTGGGTGGACTTAAACCCAACTCACTTACTTTTATTTTGTCTCCCTTTGAGCTAGCATTGGCTGTTGGCACTCTGGGTTTAAATAGATCTCAAGACCTGTGTTTCACTCCCTGTTGGGTTAATTAGGTCTCCCTGTTGCCGCTCTGGGTTAAAATAGGTATCCAAGACCCATGGTTCACTCCCTGTTGCCGCTCTGGGTTAAAATAGGTCTCCATCACCCATGCTTGTCTCCCTGTTGCCGCTCTGGGTTAAAATAGGTCTCCATCACCCATGCTTGTCTCCCTGTTGCCGCTCTGGGTTAAAATAGGTCTCCATCACCCATGCTTGTCTCCCTGTTGCCGCTCTGGGTTAAAATAGGTATCCAAGACCCATGGTTCACTCCCTGTTGCCGCTCTGGGTTAAAATGGGTCTCTGTCACCCTTCTTGTTGCCCTGCTTGTCTCCATATTGCCGCTCTATGTTAAAATAGGTCTCGTTCACCCATGCTTGTCTCCCTGTTGCCGCTCTGGGTTAAAATAGGTCTCCATCACCCATGCTTGTCTCCCTGTTGGCACCTGGGTTAAAATAGGTCTCCATCACCCATGCTTGTCTCCCTGTTGGCACCTGGGTTAAAATAGGTCTCCATCACCCATGCTTGTCTCCCTGTTGGCACCGGGTTAAAATAGGTCTCCATCACCCTTCTTGTCTCCCTGTTGGCACCTGGGTTAAAATAGGTCTCCAAGACCCATGCTTCACTCCCTGTTGGCACTCTGGGTTAAAATAGGTCTCCATCACTCTGTTCTTGTCTCCCTAAAATAGGTCTCCATCACCCTTCTTGTCTCCCTGTTGGCACCTGGGTTAAAATAGGTCTCCAAGACCCATGCTTCACTCCCTGTTGGCACTATTGGTTAAAATAGGTCTCCATCACCCTTCTTGTCTCCCTGTTGGCACCTTGGTTAAAATAGGTCTCCAAGACCCGTGCTTCACTCCCTGTTGGCACTCTTGGTTAAAATAGGTCTCCATCACCCTTCTTGTCTCCCTGTTGGCACCTGGGTTAAAATAGGTCTCCAAGACCCATGCTTCACTCCCTGTTGGCACTCTGGGTTAAAATAGGTCTCCATCACCTTCTTGTCTCCCTGTTGGCACCTGGGTTAAAATAGGTCTCCAAGACCCATGCTTGTCTCCCTGTTGGCACTCTGGGTTAAAATAGGTCTCCATCACCCTTCTTGTCTCCCTGTTGGCACCTGGGTTAAAATAGGTCTCCAAGACCCATGCTTCACTCCCTGTTGGCACTCTAGGTTAAAATAGGTCTCCATCACCCTTCTTGTCTCCCTGTTGTCACCCCTTTTCTTCTTTATTTTTAAGCTAAACTCACTTGTATGATATATGAGTGTGGTTTTGGTAGATGGTGCTTCTGATTTTCAGTGTTGATAAAAATACTGTTTTAGTATGGACAAGATTTCGATTTTTGTATTGATAAGATTCAGTTTTCGATTTGTATACATTGATAGAATTTCTGCTCTTGTTCACACATGTTCAAGTAGCTGACCTTTCAGAAATAGATGCAGGTTGACCTTGGTGATTGCTCCTTCTGGCTACATGAAAAACTCGTCAGGTCTGACTGCAGTTGAGCCAGTGCTGGGGCATGTTCTTGACATTAAACGTCACCCACGGGGCAGTCTGGCTTAAAATAGGTCCCCAGTACCCATTCAACTTACTGCACAGAGATTAGTCTCTCTTCTCAAGATTAATTTGTAACAGGTTTAAAGACCAAATTCATCCTTCATTGTACGGAGGCGGTCTCTCTTGTCAAGTTTAATCATCTTTGGTCTGTCAGTGCCATGCAGGTAGCAGCTGCGAGGGTTCCACCAAAATAGTAAACATCTGTAACCTGTGTTCCTGAAGGCTTTCCTCTCCCACTAAGCGGTCTTTCAAACCCCCAATGACATCAGCTGTTGTTGCAGGGCTTTCTAATATTCATACAGTCAACTTAGGTGTCTATTTCCATCACCTTTCTTCCCTCGGGTCTTTAAATCCTGAGCTGAACATTCAGTCTTGTTTTGCAAGGTATTATTTTGCACTGAGGTTCTGTATATTTCATACGCATGTGACTGAAATACTGTTGAAAGCAGGAGAAGATAATGCTGTTCATCAGTTGTTATCCTACAGTCACTTTAAGCTATAGTGTCAGAGGTTTTGCTTCCTCACAGAAACCTTGTAAGAGGTACTTCTTTCAAGCGTGACATGCATGCAGGTGTTTACAACCGAAAGCCGTGCTAGGAGCTTTATGTTCCAGTTGTAAGACCTGGGGCCCGTTCCACAAAGCGATTGTAGCGCTACGACTGTCGTAAGTCTGTGTTAAAGTATGGGAGTTAAGATCACCTTAGCGCTACGATCGCTTTGTGGAACGGGCCCTGCTTTATTGGATGTCATGAATACATTA